TAAGATACTTATATATATATAAATAATTGTTAGAAAACAACGAGTGTACATTATAATATTTGATGCAGAGAATTCCTTGAAAACAGTAACATCACGTTTAACGATAATGGCACGATGAGCTACATTCCCAGAAGAACGGTAACTTACGTACCCGAAATGTCAGTTGGCAATCCTGAAAAGGACATAGTTAATGTCCCAAATGTACCTTTTTTGGTAAGTGTAGTAAATTATATTTATCATATTTTAGAGAAATTATTTAGTGCATTAATACTAAATAATTCCGACAATAAATTTTCTTAATTAATTAGTAGCCAAGTTTATTAAAACGAATTTTTCAATATTTTTATATTGTTGCTAAAAACGTATAGTTATTTGATATATAATTATATATGATAAAAAAGGTATAAAAATTCATGAAATATACATTCTTCTTTTTTCATATATGATATATATATATGAAATCCTTCCAAAAAAATTAATAACAAAAAATATGCAAACATACTTTATTATATATAATAAAAAAAGTATAAAAATATTCGTAAATTCATATTCCTTTTTTTATGGAATTTTTTTTTTTGGAATTAATAACAGGAAGTGGGTATGTGTGTGTTTATAAATATTTTGATTTCTCCTGTTTATTAAATTATATATATATTATTACACTATAAATTAATTTTATTTTATAAAATACATTTAAAAAAGCGAGAAATACAGAAACTTTTTTTAACTTGTGTATAGAAGTATCTTAATATATAAAAACCATCTAAACTTTTTCAATAATATGCACTACAATGATATGTACATCTTAAAATTATTATGTATACAGGCTGTTTTATTAAAAGTGGCCACCCTCTTTTATCTTTTAAACTAAAAGAGATAGATTATAACAAATATATATCAAATTAAATGGTTCAAACTGAACTCTATTGTGAGCATAGTGGTTGCTTCCAGAAACTATCTGTGTTAACAAACGGAGAAGTAATTTTTTTATAATAATATGGATATTTCGATATGATAAAAATTGTAGCGCTATTTGAAACGAATACAACAATGTATGATATAATGTAAATATTTTACATATTATACGAGTTTTATCAACTTGAAATATCGCGGGCGACGTCTTTCACTTTCCGCCCTGCGATATGATTACTTCTGACTCGTGCATTAGAGATTAACATATGTCATGTTGTCATTTGATCATAATACTCAACTTTGTACAATAAAATTATATACAATAAAATTAATTTACAGTGTAATAATATATATAATTCAATGCACAGGAAACATCAAAATGTTTAGTTTGCAAAAGTATATTTAGAATAAAATATCGTTCTGTTATAATTGTGATTGCTTCATACGCAATTCTTCTGATTTATTTGCAAAACAATGAATAAGTAAGTGTTACTGCCGCTCTTTTTGCTGATAGATTTTATGCATGTAACACACATCATACATTATGTATACAATCCAGTGACTACTACATATAGAAGTCTGTGATACAATCACACGTAGTTGTAGGGTCAAAGAGCAATAAATCAATATAATGACGATAGTCTTGTGTAACTTTTTTTATACAATTATACTTTAGGCTGTAAGCAATTGAAAATAATAATTTGCTTATTGAAACATGTTATTTACAATGACATACTGCTTATAATGCATTTATGATTAGTTGGTATTAAGATTTTTTTCTGCCGTAGGGTGTTTTATCCGCTTTGCATGATGCCGGATTTTTCGTGAACTATCCTATAGTACAGTTGGCGAACGCGATGGGTGCCAAATCAATCCTGAATATTTCGGTGTACGATTATCTGTGGGGTTATGAGGATTCAATGGTGACATTGGTCAGTGGAATCGTGCCAAACTTCATCAACTTTCGAAAGTTTGGTCTTCTGGACCGGGTAAATAAATCGACATTTATTTGTATCATAAATAAAGCATTAAGAAATGCATAACACTATAAATGCATAGCACTATAAAAAATTATTGAATAAACTAATCGTTAAAACATTAGAAAGTTTAATAATTTAGGACAAAAATACACTTTAACGCACATTTATTGAAAAATAAAAAACTATTAACAGTTTACAATTTAATTAGTGAGCATAATCAATCAATAAAACCATTAACATTTTAATTCTTATCGACAAAATTAATTATAAATATATAAAAATATAACGATTTCTATCTTTATCAAGACTGAATACAAAAATTATAGCTTCGTTGATGTGTTTATTTTTATGAAGTTTGTGCTTAAAGATACAGTTTAAAAGTAACTGAAAAAGTGCAATGACCAAGAATGTCAAGGTAAAGTCTATGCAAAAGCGAAAGGTTTTATTAGTCGTGTCATAAACCTGGTGGTGCCTATTCGGCATTACAAAATAGCGACTAAACTGGTTAGATTTCAGATGTGTTTTCATAGAACACACTTTTGATTTTATACAAAATGTATTAATTGCTATTCGCAATTATGCCTAATCATAGAAAGAAAGAATACTAAAATAAAAATCAAAATAAATCTTCTTGATAAACTTGTTTAATTACTCTAAAATATAGTAAGCATTAAGAGAAAAAAATACGTCAGTTATTTTAAATATTTAAACAGACGCTTTTTGTTAATAAATGATGTATGTGAGTTTTTTGTAAATTTTGATTAAGAGGAGAGAATGCGAGTACTCTAATAATTAATGCAATTTTCACAGCATTTATCCTTGCAAAAAAAAACTGATATAAATAATTTTGATGATAAATGATTTTAATAATAAAAAACTAATTATATTTTTTATTAATTAACTGTTATTGCAGTTATTAGATTCTCCAAGCAATATGCTACTTCAAAATTACATGTATCCCATTTTTCATGTAAAAATTTGATTTTAGATGTTTGTTGCATTTTACTGCGCCTTTCAAATAAATACGTCTACTTACGTCATTGCAGCAATTCATTTCTACTGGCGCAGTATAAATAATATAAATAAGAAAGCTATTATTCTTCACCGTTGCGTTGGTGCCGTGGCGCGGCTTTTAAAATAGATCATTCATAATCATACTGTCTTGTCAAAAAAAAAAAGAACCTGACTGTGGGACATGAAAAGAAACCGGTTTTTCAGTGCACGTATTTATCTTTGTAACAACATCAAAATAAAGGAGATATTTTTTTAGAATTTTTTTGTCGCCCAAAACGATATGCCCGAATCGAAGGAATGTTGCCTTGAAACCGATCAATATCGACAGATGTTTGCTCATGTTATTAAATAAAATTTTTACTTCCACACATCAATTCTAAAATTTATGCTGTACGTATTAACGTAAACATTTGTGTTATACCGTTCTATACAAACGATTAAATTAAACGATTTAATTAAAATATATTTTACATATTTTTATGTTATTCAAATTACATAGATATTAATTTTATAACATAATATTATTTCTTCAAAATTTAGAAATGTTATTTGGAATTTATTTCTATTTATTAAAATTAGTTCATCTTTATTCTTTTAATTCTTTCCTTGCTAAAACTTGGTAATATATTCTATCGCATAAATCTTTATTTATTGTTTCTTTTATAAACAATATATCTTATAAAAATTACGATAAAGAAAAATTTTAAAAATTTGTTTCTAATTTCTATCATATTTTTTATATTAAGAGATTTTTCAAATTAAATATAATAGATAAAATTTTCATAATCTGAATCCTAATCGAGATTATATGGCAATGCAAAAAAGCAAATTAAATAGTGTCGTAGACTCGGCTGTTGAACTGCTGTCGCTTTTCGCAATTATTGCGAGTCGTTGATCCTTTCACTATTTATACCGGCTCGTTTCAGGGTTCACGAGGTTAGTGTTAACGACTTTAATACTATACGGTCTCAAGGGACATGATTTCCGGACGCACCTTTCTCTAGTTGCATTAATAATTCAAATAACACATTTCATGTTTAAAGTTGCTTATTTATGAGTACGGAATTTTTTATACACATACAGAGAAATTAATCAGAGCATACAATCGCAATATGCCGAATATGACATGTTATTAAAGAAATTTTTAATGCATATTATAATATATATCTTACGATACGCAATAAAAAAAAAATAGATTTATAAGTAGTTGCTTTGATAATCTTAAAATTTGACATATAACAAAAGATTGTTATCATATCTCTGTTCACAGCCTCTTTTATATTATATTTGCAATTATAATATTTTAATAATCTATCAAATTTTATTTTTTATATTTCATTGTTCTATAATGATATTTTATTAACTCTGAAAATAATTGATTAGCGACAAGCTCATGTCGAAAAAAAATTATTACATTTGATAAAAGAATAATAATTGAAGACAGATTCAATATTTAATATTCATATCTTTATTTGTAAGTAGGTAATTTATTTATTTATATTAATAAATTAATTTATAATAATAATAGAAAAACATTTTTAAAAGACTATAAAAAAATTAATATCTATTATATTTTTATTATTATATATGTTCTATTGCGATGATGTTTAATTAAAGTAATCATTAAACGAACGGAATTATTTGTTCAAAATTGATTTTTACTTTTTAAACATTGTAATCTAATTTTTGTCTTATGTTATTAAAAATATAATCTGAAATTATACAAATAAATTATTTTATATATTGCAATTTGCAACAAAAATGCATATGAGGCATAATATGCCTCTCTTCCCCATCCCGTTACATATAATACTACATGTCTAATGTTGCGGAGAATTAAATAAATAAATAATTTTTTAAATAATGATTAATACACAAATAGAACAAATTAATTACAAAAGAAAAAGATGCTTTGTGCACTCTCGACAGGTCTTTAAAAATATAAAATTTGTATAAAAACAAAAAAACTTTGGTATAAATTTATTAAAACCTATATGTTATATTTTTCTGTATATTTAGATGTACGATGACGGGGAAAATACCGTGACGGTAAATCTTCGAAAGAATGCTAACATGACGAGCGAAAAAGGACGATATCTCAGCATTGACAAGTACAATGGCAGCCCCGGATTGGCGCAGTGGGGATACGTTGAAACAGAAGGCAATGAGACTCGAGAAGGGTAAAAACCATAGACATAGTATATCTAGACCATAGACATAGTATATCTAGACCGAGTGTTGAGTAGTGGTAGCCGAAGTGCACGTAGAAAAGGACATACTCTGTTTCGTGCCCCTTGCGTTCTCTCTCGCTCGCACAGAGCATAGCGCTCTCTTTCGTCATGCTACGTGCGAGTGAGAGAGAAGGCAAGGGGCACGGAACAGAGTATGTCCTTTTCTACGTGCACCTTGGCCCTCACTCCTCAACACTTGGTCTAGATATACTATGTCTATGGTAAAAACAAAATCTTAATGATCTTGCTGCGGAAAAGTGCGGGTTTTTTTCTTTAGATAAACAGCAAACTCTACTTGATAAGTTCTACGTTTTATCGTCCGTATAATGTTTTGCATTATGTCAAGCGAGTCACATACGTACAAAAAATTTAATACAAAACACAAAGTGGTATCGTATTATTCTGTCCAAAGGTGCTAAGTAGCACTTCCACGAGTATAAAAATCCACGGAGATTTTTATTTCAAATCAAACAACGCATTATGTTAAGATGTCTTTGACTGTGCAAATGTAAATGTCTAATATACAAATACAAGTGAGACCGCAAAGATCAATAAAATTATTCCAATCCACAAATATTATTCCAGGAAATATTAAAATGTCGATATATTCGATGAAAGCTACTGCGCATTTTCACGACATCGCGATTTGTACAATTCTTTCTTTGAAATTTTTCATAATAATTTAAAAAATATGCGTGCACCTATTCTTCTCGACTTTTTTTCATAATAAAGTAGTTAAAAAACTAATGTAATAGACCAAAAAAGTTTAATTTCAGTATATATATATCTCACAAAATACTTCTAAATTTGAAGAGATTATAATAAATTTAGTTAAAACAATAATTTTAAAAAAGTAGGTTGGATATAGATTTTATAATTAAATATAATTTTCATTTTATTTTAATTAATGTGTTTCTGAGTCACATTAATTATCACGTTAAATTTGTCTTAATATTGAGATTTATATATGGATAAGTCAATACATCCAGTCAAACGTTACAATATAAAATACCTATATTTAATGTTAATTTAATATTTAATATTTAATATTTTTCTATTTTTTCTATTTTTTCTATTTTCTATTTTCTATTTTTTAATTACAATTTAATAAAGCAACTTCAGTGTTAACTTTTTTTGTTTTAGGAATTTAATTTGCAACACGATCCAAGGTGCTACGGAAGGTATCATATTCCCATCACACTTAGATAAGCATGTTATGTTCAGAGTGTACAGAAAAGCATTTTGTCGAACGCTACCGATTATATTCAAGAAAGAAGTGTTTACGGAAAGTGGCCTGCCAGGATATCTTTACACTCTTACGGATGACTTTGCTGATACGCCTGATCAAAATCCGGACAACGAATGCTATTGCCGCAAGATGAAGACCTGTCTAAAAAAAGGATTGTCTAATGTAACACCATGCTATTACAGTACGTATCTTATCAAACTAACAATAACCTACAGATGGTAAACGCTATTACATGCTTATTTTAACATATATTGCATATATTAACATTTTTCTTTCATTTTCTTTATCATACATAATTTATAGTCATAATTTGATTAAATCGTAATTCTATTCAAATATGAAAATGTGCATTCTGGATATAACATGAGTATAACTCATTGGAAAAATAATTTAGAATTAATGTATTTTAAATAAAAATTGCAATGGTATAAGCTCTTTTATTTATGATTATATGTTAATTATTTTTATTACGTTCTTTGCATATTACTTATTAATTTTAGATTATTATTTTAATGTCTGTTTAAAAATATAAACTCACTGCATGCGTATGTACATATTATACACGTACAAATTGTGATAAGCTTGATGATAATTAACTATAATTATAATTGTCATTACATTACATACATTCCGTTGCGTCATTGCTATAAAGAGATAAATTTATGCAGCGACTTTTGCATTTGTCGTAAATTGTGGTAATTTTGATATTTCATCACTCATTACAAATAATTGCGAATATACATTTGATTATCCTGAGAAATGGTATCAAAAAAAACTTAATGAATTATTTATGTCTTGATTTTTCTTTTTTTAGATATCCCGGTGGCACTATCTCTTCCACATTTCCTTGATGCTGATCCGAGTTTGCCGGAGAATGTAGAAGGTCTTAAACCGGATCGAAAGAAGCATGAATCTTTCGCAATAATACAACAAGTAAATAATATTAAATACAATAACATTCGGAAAACAAAATACTGTTTAAGACATATGTTACCAAATCATAAAATTAAGAAATTATTTTAATATTGTATAATTTTGTTGTATTCATTATTAAAAACGTGAAAATTTAAAAAAGATCTTAGTCAGTAAAAATTCAAAATTTAATAAAAAAGTTATAGTGATATTTATTGATAGCAAATATTGGACATTACGATTACAACAAATAAACTCATGGTATTCATCAGTTATTCATGTTTTTATATAAAAGATTGGATAAGTCTTACGTACAGATTATTCAATCGCGTGACACCATTCCTCAGAATTATGCGTATAAAGAACACGCTTGCGAGAGTTATTTATTAGTTATTCAATACTATTTCAATCTTATCTAACAGTTATAATCTATGTAATAATCTGGATGGCGCATACACATGAAAATGTAACTATTAATGCAAAAATTTTTTTTAAGATTATTAGATTTTAATCAAGTAAAATCCGAGTAAAAAGGCAAAAGAGCCGCGCGCAGTTTTTAGGGCGCAAAGGTATATAATTTAAACCAAAAAATAAATTAAAAAATTAGAGAATTTCTTTAATTACATGATTCGCGAAAGGCGGACGTTTCGGCCCTTTTTTTGGCCATCATCAGCGCAAATAATACTAAACTCAACAATATAAACGGTATACAGAAAAGTCTTAATCAATTAATAATTATTAATAAATTTCTGTATACCGTTTATATTGTTGAGTTTAGTATTATTTGCGCTGATGATGGCCAAAAAAAGGGCCGAAACGTCCGCCTTTCGCGAATCATGTAATTAAAGAAATTCTCTAATTTTTTAATTTATTTTTTGGTTTAAATTATTTACCTTTGCGCCCTAAAAATTGCGCGCGGCTCTTTTGCCTTTTTACTCGGATTTTACTTGATTTTAATCGTGTAAGAGCCTTACTTTTATATCTTTTTATTAGATTTTAATTGCACAATATGTTTTAGATTTTTGTGACATTAGATGCTTTCTCATAAAAGCATTAGCATCAATCAAAGAATGTCTTCACAAATAACAGAGTTAAAATCTTTTCTATTATTCCAAATATACGATATAAGAAATAATTTTTAGATGTGACAATTTTTGTAAACAAAAATAAAAAATTCTTATATAATTAAAGTGCAATAAAAATAAATTTAGTTAAATCTAAAATTTTATATCTAGATTTTTTAGCGTTTATTTATAAACATGAATACAAATTTTTAAACTCGTTTTTGATGTTACTTTTTCAGACAATTGGTATGCCCATATATTTCCATTCAAGAAATCAGATAAATTTGATAATGCATCCCACACGCTACAACCCTAAGATTGCAGCTTTTAATAACATGACGATACCTTTATTTTGGTCCGATATGGTAAGTAATCTGCATGATTTCACAATCGATATATAAAAATTCCGTTTCTCTATGAAAATTATGAAGCGGATTATATATCTCTCCACTTTCTCTAATCCGCTTCTTTTATTGTACCTATTAGTTGCGGTTTGTTAAGCAACATCGTCACCATAAAAAAATATTGTATAACGTCAAGCACATGTATTAATAAAAATAATTACAAAATCACTGATTATTAATTACATTCAAGTGTAGAACAAAATTTTAATCTATATTTTTAATCGGCTAATTCCATAATGTCAGAGTTTTTCCCTGATTGAGATATTTATATTCATCTCTTTTTCTGTGTATTTATAAATTTAAATTACATAATTAGTATAACTTATTTCGTTCATTTTTATTGTACTTATAAATTTTTTAATTTTGTTTATGTTAATTCTTTTTTAATATACGATTTCAAGATTTAAAATATATAAGCCTTATATTTTTTTTATATACAAATATAGTTTATCTTCTCCTCTCACCACATATACAAAATATATATGTATGTGAGAGGATATATATTATACAGGGTGTCCCAAAGCACCCTTGACAACGCTCGTGAGCACGTAGAGCACAGTAAACTAAACAGAAAAGTCCTGTACCATTTTTTTATATAACGCTTAATAAAGGAGTTATTATAAATTAATAAAATATGTATGATATAATGTTATTTGCCTTTATCATATGCAATCAGCAAATCATGTAATAAATTTAGATCTCTTTCTTTCAGAATATTCAGTCTTTGCCGACTTATCTTCATATATTATTAAAATTAATACTACAAATACTACCAGTCGCACAGACAGTGTTGATGTATCTGCTTGGTATTATCGGGGTGACGACAATAATGCTGTCGCTAACGTCCGCTCTACGGATGCTCAATGAGCAACAACAGGAGCAAGAGCAAGAGGCGATCAAAAGTCTTGATAATCCCGACTTGAAAATACCTTTGTGCAACGGGGGAAATCAATACACTTCGATAAATATTTTACCAGTGATCAAGAAAATTACATCAAAAACCGATTTGTTTACAACGGATTCTCCGTATTCTTAACAATTCTTATTTTACATGTTTGTATTATTAATACTTTTAAATTGTGTGTATCTTTAACACATCCTGCGTTGCTTATCTATTTACTTCACAGTTGTCATTTGACATTGGGGAGAACTGACAATGGAATAGACTAAGAAGAAATTTTAAGAGATTGTTTCGTTCTGACAAATTAAAAATACCAAGAGTCGCGATTGTAGTTAAAAACAAATGTTTTTGCATGTGTAATCAAGTAATAATAAAAATACAGAAGAGTTACGATCTTTTTGTAAATATATGTTTTATTGTAATTTGAAGCAATTAGCTTGGAATGAAACGAACTAATGGAATCTCTTTATCTTTGCAATCCGTAGCATCGTAATGACATAACATTCCATATGGTAATTATTAAAATACCATGAGAAAGATTTAAATAATACATGCGATTAAATGTACATAATATATACATATATACGGAGACTATGTTTAATTTTTGATAATTTGTCTATAATGTAAGAAATAATATTTTATGTTGAATTATTATATGTTATATTTAAACATAGACCACAAAAATGTAGATAAACATAGATAAGATTTTATTGTACAAATTTAATTAATTGCACTTCAAGTATATACTAGTAAAATAATTACCCAAGTGTTGTGATAAATATATTCCATTCAGTTAGACATGGAATTAAGAGCATCAGATTATATATAAGCTATAATTACAATTCATATATATATAGATTATTCGTTTGCATGTAAAATTTCTAATATAATATATTTTGTTTATGGGAACATGATAAAATTTTAAATAATTCTATAAAAATAATAAATTATTTTATTAATATAATTTTTAAGTTATTATGGTTTAGTTTGTATACTCAATTAGCATATGTAAATTTATACGTAAATGTAAAATTATATTTCGCAGATTATAAACACAATAAATAATTAATTAAGATAATATATTAATTTTATAATTTAACTGTTTTAAATACTGTATTTTAAAGAACTTTATAAAAGTAGAATTTTTTCTTCTTAAAATTAATATTATAGAGATAATGGATATCACATGAAATAGTTTAATTTTACTTCATACGTGATTTTTTTTTGTAATAATTCAACAAAAAATTGATATTATTGGTTATCAACATTGATTATGAATAGAACAATATTAAAGCAGGTCCAAAAATATTTCTATATGTGAAATACAAATGTATTTTTAATCTTTTACATATTTCTACTAGAAGCCTGCATTATACTGAAAAAAGAATATTATGTAATCATTTTTATAATGATCAGTTAATTTATTTGTGCTATCTTTTGCACATACGAAATATTAGTGGAATGTTCACACTTTTATGACAAGCGGACGTGTTAGGACAGAAATAAAGACTTAAAATGTGATAATATATTTTTTATATAGATTGTACAATTTATGATTTGTTGAGTTTTATTCCGATTTTTAAGGGGTATAATAAAATAAGCAAAATATAATAAGATGAATCCGTGTATAGTTAATATTCTTTATTTTGCAACATTATATAAAATTTGTTAGTAAAGCTGATTAAAACAATTATATAAAATTTGTTAGCAAAACTTCTCTTAACAATGTAAGACTTCATATAATACATTATATATATAATGTAAAAATATGAATAATTATTTTTCTGTCACAGTAATATTTACAAAATGCATCAGCCATAATCTATTATATCACAATATGCTCCTTATATATTGTTTCCATATTTGCAATTGAAATAAATATGTGATTCGGTTTGCTCGATCTCAAAAGGCAAACATATATTACGCTGTGATTATGAACGTGTTTATAAATCATTCAATTTTCGAAATACAAGTTCCATTTCTGGTCGATTTTGCGCCAATCGATTAGCACACCACTTTCCTAAGGATATTAAATTTTTGTAAACCTGTTTGTCTTTTTCACCAGCCTTCTTATCTATCAATAGAAGAAGATCTTTGTCTTCCCAAACATCGATTAAATCTCGTAAAAATTTCTTCTCAGGCCGTGAATCATCGTAAGCCCGAAGCCCAGTTGCCATTTCGAATAAAACTATGCCGTAACTATAGGTGTCTATTTTTGTGGATAATTTTTTGTCAAATAAAAATTCTTCAGGCAGATAGGGTCTTGTTCCATGAATCTTGCTGATCTAATAATTATTTAGTAATAGTTGTTATTTAATAAATACTATAATATAAAATATAAGTCTCCATTTAGTGTGCTCAAATTTTTTAAAATAATCCTAATATTTTTGAGAATATTTAGAAATCGATTATTTTGAGATTTTCTAGCAACTTATATATTATAAATCATTTGTAATCATACGTATCTAGATTACTATTAAATTTATGATAATTACTCACCTTCATACTATCCCTTTCAGGACCTTCCCGCGCTAAGCCAAAATCGCCAATTTTTGGCTCGAAATTTTTATCCAACAAAATATTCGCGCTTTTAATATCACCGTGAATTAATGGTTTCTCTCCTATGATATGCAAGTATTGCAACCCGCGTGCTATACCTTTGGCAACCTCGTGTCTTTGTATCCACGTTAGTGGTTTAGTCTTTTGTCTTAATAGGAGCCTGTCCTCTAAAGACCCATTCTTCATTAACTGATAAACCAAACACGGTGCCTCGCCGCCAAAACTATACGCGTATAAAGGTAAAATATTTTCATGAGCACGAGAATTCAAAATTTTTATTTCTTTCAATGATTGTTGAAGTTGTAGAATATAACTTTCATCTGAATCAGGCCCTTTTTGTCGAATCTTCTTTATTGCCACATCAGTGTTTTTCCAAGTGCCTACAGTATATACAAACAAAAATGTAGTATATTAAATAAATAACAATTATTTTAACTCGCATATCTTTTATAACTCAAATTATAATTTATTTTTGTTATACAAAGCCAACCAGAGTAATAAATTTTAAAATATAAAAAAATTAAATATTATTTCTAAGCATACAAATACAAATAATTATATATAAATGCTACTTACTTAATATAAGTAAGTCTTCCAAAATTAAATTTCTATAACATTATCGCTAACATGTTAATATCAATTAAATACATACCTCTATATACTGTTCCAAAACCACCTTTTCCCAATATATTATGTGGATTCCACCCATTTGTAGCAATAGCTAATTCGCTATAACTTGCATGTGGCAGAGTAGTTTCTGTTTTTGGTAGTGGCGATTCATTGATCTTTTTGCCGTTACTGCCAGTATTTTGTGAAGATGGCAGAAAGACAGCAGCCGCTCCTGGCGAGGCTACTAGCAAATTATTAGAATTGCTTGGACTGATAGTCAGTGGCTGATTTAAAATCTTATCGACACTCTGCTGTGGCGATGCACGTTGATTAAAATTCTGTGTTCCAATTTTTAAATCCTTAGTGTTCTTATTGATCAACTGTTTGTGTGGTATGTTTTGCAAATTAGCTTCTCCATTGTGCAAAAGTCGATGAAATCTTTGATCGACAAAAGGTAACAAGGGTACCATTGACTGATAGTGTTGCATTCTCGACAGTAAGACAAATAATTCTACTATTGTATGATTGTGATGACCCCATAGTGTCAAAAGTTCATCTGTGGGATTCTTCTCCTTTCTTAGACTCTGTATTGTTAGAACATCGTACTTCATCCAGGTACCTGTTAAAGTTATAATAGTGTGAAAATAATTCCAATTTAATAGAATATATTGGCAGCATATACGCAGTTGTAACATATCATATTTGCAACAATTGATCATTACTAAATAAGAATATAGTGAATATACCATAAAAAGTAAAAAAAAAAGATAAAACAAAATACAATTTAATGTGCAAAGTCAAGTAACAAGTGATCGAAGTAGTATTAAATAAATATATACTTTGTATGCATTTGGGACCCTATGATGACTTACCAGCCAACTCTTCCCACTTATCGTTTTGATTCATAATTTTGCAAAATTCTGATCGTTCAGAAAATGGTAAGTGATAAATGTATTTCAAACTCTCCATTGTAGTCATTTCGTATTAATATTTCACGTATTGTATATTATTGTGTATTATATTTTTTTATATAATAACCTATTGTAAAATTATTATACTTTTAATTCACTGTGCATAAGATTCTAACAACACATATGTTACACAGAACAGATTGTGTTCTGATCGTTCTGATGATTACTAGTACTCGTAATACAAAAAATCATTCATATAGAATGTATATACTTTCATTCAATTATACGTCTCGTATTGATTGACTATTTCCCAAGTTAACTGTTTGGCGGCAGCATAGTTACTCTCATCCATTGATGAGATCATCAGCTGATTTTGTGTAGTGTGTAGTATGTACATACACCTAGTAGTATCGCATATTTTCTCTCCATTTGAAAATTGATTTAGCATTTTTATCGTGCTCTTTTATATGTTACTTTTTTAAGAAATTTTTCAATTCTCATTATTAAAAAAGTGAGATAATATATTATTATTAATAAAGCAGTTGAAAGATGCATTAATTGAGAGATACTTTTATTATAGAACATGGATATACAAGAGACACAAATTGTTAAAGATAATTATTAAAAGTCTTGCATATATATGCTGGCTTAATGAGAAATGACAAGCTGTTTATTGCTGCAAAAGATTGGCATATATTTGTCGAGAAAAAGATTCGCCACAAAGATGCTGTGCAGCGATGGAATTCTTAGTCTGTTCTGTTTTATCACAGCAGGCTTAATATCGTTTCTCCCTGAATTACTCTTGAGATTAGAGCTTGACATTTATGTTGTATATTTTACAAATATCTGGTATTTACATATAATACAGTACATTCTCATAAATGTACTCGCATGTTTGGCATTTCGTGGCTTTGCTTATCAAGTAAGTTTTGCCTTGTTATTGTATGTTATTGTATATTAAAATTTTGCACTCAAGCTCTTCTTTCTCTTACAGGTGGCAATCAGAGCATTGTTTCTTGGATATGTATTTGGAATTGGTATTTTAATATCAATCACTGCATCGCCATCATGGCAGATATTTGGAATTTATATGACAATATTAGCAAGTTTCCATTATTCTGAATTTCTAGCTATAGCATGGACAAATCCAGCGCTATTGTCAATCGACAGTTTTATTCTTAACCATAGCATAGCATATGGTGTAGCAGCAAGTCTCAGTTGGATAGAATTTTTCATAGAGAGGCATTATTTTTATGAATTGAAACTGCCTTCTCCAGTATCCTATTTTGGGTTAGTATTGTGCGTCTCTGGTGAAATTCTGAGAAAACTGGCAATGTGTACTGCAAAGCACAATTTTAATCATGTTGTGCAAAGTGAGAAAAATGATAATCACCAACTTGTTACGCACGGTGTATACAGTCTATGCAGACATCCTAGTTATGTAGGATGGTTTTATTGGTCTATAGGAACACAGGTGAGGCATCATAAATTTTGCAGAGAATTAGACATTTATAACTCTTTACTTTTATTATATTATTAATTAATATTTTATAAATCTTTGTTTCAGTTAGTACTTCAAAATCCATTCTGTTTCTGTGCATATGCATTGATGTCATGGAGATTTTTCCATGATCGTGTTTTGATCGAAGAAATAACTTTATTAAATTTCTTTGGTGAAGACTATGTTAAATATCAGGAAAAAGTACGTACAGGACTTCCATTTATTTCTGGATATAAAATTAGTTTATAGCATCCTATGTTGGTGTAATTTTATTTTTCATCAAGTATATTTTTATTTTCCAATTTTATTATAACATACAAAAAAAAAGACATTTTATGTTTGTAAGAATTAATTGGATTAATTAATCATAATTATTTGAACATTTAAAAACCTTTCTTATCTTTTTACATATAAACATCATATATACATTACACAAATATACATATATATTTATTTTTTTTTTAAATGAGGCTTATTAACTGTCATTATAATTTGTGTTTGTTTTAAGTTATTATTATTATGTAACGAATAATTTCTTAATTATTTGAGTTGTGTGATTACTTAT